AGGTTATCTATCTTATTTAATATTTAGATTCTATAGAGGTACGTTATTCTTAATCCATGAAAAGAAAAATATTTTAATTGACTTTGGAATGTTTCTGAAATTACATTATCTAGGATATTGGCTATTTAATGTAAGAATGCTGATCAGCTTTTGGAATGAGGCTGGCTGTATAACAGACAGAATACTTTCCTTCAGCAACCCTCAGTTTCAATGTATTCATTTTTTTGTAGTATCTGAGCTGCTTCAGAATTTATGCATTTTACAAATAAGGTATCAGGCCTGCCTTTGTAATTTCTGCTCTAATTCATGACTCTGTGAATTCTTGATCTCCCACCCGCAGAGCTTATTAATCCAGAGCAGAGTTCAAATTTTGTCTTAAACAGAATTTAAACAAATAAAAAACACAGGAAAACTCTTAATAGCTGAAACATTTATATTAGTTTCACTCCACAGGGCAACAACTCTGAGTTCTGGAACATCAACCCAAGGCCAGCTAGAGAACTGCAATGTTGCCAACTCGCATTCTTGGAGGATATAACTGGAGTTGACGAGAAATAGCCCAGCAAAATTACATCACAAATGACAGGTCAGTATCAATGATAAATTCCGTGAAACCCAAATGAAAGACACAATGGTGTTCTCCAGCCTCCACTCAGTGGGCTATCTAGGAGGTGAAGAATTGTGATTACACAGAACAAATGCAAGGGAACTTGCAGCATTGTTTGTAAAAGAAGACTCATTGTTATGAAATTGCTTGCGTTTTTTCTGGTGCCAGACACCGTATTCTGTTGCTCAGCCGAGAAATGGATTAAAAAAGTATTCTAATGACTGCAAATCAGATAAGGGGTGGGTGTGAAGGAATGCAGTTATTCTGGATAATAAACTAAGCCTGTTACAGAGATTTTTTTAGCACTGACATATTTCTACCATCCCCTGTATCATAACAATAGAAGACACACCAAAAACTCTGCGCTAGAGTACCAACAAGCACAAAATCATGCAGAACTGTATTAGACATACAGGGACATACTTGTGTTGCTGATCTGTCTGGATGGGCCCCAAAAAGCCAGTTGTTTTATGTAAGTCAGCCAGAGTACAGAATGTTGCATGACAAAAAAAGACACACTACAGTCAAAAAACAGGAGAGTATTTTGACCTTTCTTCTCTGTTGGTCTTTATCTTATTTTTGAACTTGCTTTACTGCTGTTAGTTTTTTTTTCTTCTTTGGATTTTTATTAAACTCTCCTTAGGCTTGCAAGCTTGGCATTTTCTTCTTTTTTCTTTTCAGTTTAAGAATGAAGAAAACCTGTTTACCAGGCCAGTTTTCCTGAAATCTCACTGGTTTATCTATAATTTAAATATGTCATTAATGCACAATATCCCAGTAAAACTTTGTGAATTTTAATCAGGTGGGTGTAACAAGCTTTCCAATTATTTTGGAGCTGATTATCACCCATTATGTAACATAGATACAGTTTTCACAGCTGTGCAGTAATAGAAAAATCAAAGTTTGCATCTAAGCCTAACAGCACTTAGCTCTGAACCAGATCATATTGAAAGTGTTTGATGTTGGCTGCCAGGTGAGAACTGGGTCCCTTATAAAATTCAGAAGACATTTTGCTGCTGCTTTTCTTGAAGCCAAGATTTCAGCTTGTCACAGACTGCAAATATGAATTCCTTTTCACTTTGCTTTTCCAATTTTCTCTCCCACACAAATCAATCTTACTCTCACTCAACTTTATTAGATTTACTCTGAAACCATACTGCTGCAACTGAGAACAGAATCAGACCCAACAATGCACTTTGCCTTCAAAATAATTAGCTGCATACTGTACAGTCCCCCATTTCTGTCCAGCTATATGTGCTGTCTGGAGAACCTGTATACTGAATTTCCACAGGTTGTGCAACAGAGTCCTTTTAGTTTATATTAAGGACTATCCTGGGTAGAGAACACCTTATAAAGACGAAACACCGCACTTGGATAATTCATGTGCATAGAATCCACATACAGACCCAAAGTTATTGACCAGGCAGAGTAAGTTTTTCTGATCATGACATTGTGCAGTTTTTAGAATAAAGTGCTATTTGTTTATGGCTAAACCTTATATGCGGCTATTGCATGCACACTTCTGGCTGCATTGTCAAAAACTGGAACACCTTCAACAAAGAAGGATGAAGCCTAAGCACTAGGGCAATGAAAGGTTTGGTTGTGGTTTTTTTTTTCGTTTTATTTTGCGTTCCAACAGAACTTTTGTCAAACATAAAGCACGTGAACACACAACAGTTTTCTTCACTCATTCCCACACAGAGCTGTTCATAGAGGAGGAATACTAAGGAGGAATGTTCCTAAAGCCATAGACATCTTCTCCATTTATTTCAGGTTTTGTTCCGTGGTTTGCTTCTCTTTTTTTTGTTTGTTTTTCTTTTTCTTAACATTACGACAAAACATTATAAGAAAAAAAATTTGGAGTAGTGTCAATATAAAATAGTATCCATCAATCCCTGAATCATGCTATTCAAAGTGCTTAAATCTACACTAAAAATAGAACAACAGAAAAGTACTCCTCATGTGGCTAAGGAAATGCCTACTGATCGTCTAAACGTGACTGCGGTCAGATAGTTACATTCTACATTTATTCCACATCCCAGTCTTTACCCCAGGGCATATAAAGGGGAAGGAAAGGGCAAAAAATAATGCATTGCTTTCAGAGGATACTGGGGTATTTGGCATCCAGATAAATGAAGGAAAATGCCGTCAGTGCCTGACAGGTGTCTGTAAGGGCAGATAAATAATGGCTTTCTTACACTATAAAAATAACCAAACGTGCAAATTTCTCTTAAAATTGTGTCTTGCCTGGAAGCTTCATTTCCATTTTGTGGATGCTTGGCATATGTCCAGAGGGAGACACCATAGTAAAGAACATACTGTAGAAAGGGACTTGAGCAAACTGTCAGAGAAATAAACATTTTTAAGCAAATAAAAATCAGTGCACATCCCGAAGCTCTATTAGCTTATTATGCAGATCCCAAGATTTCTTGACTTTCACAACAGGAGCATAGTCATTTCTTCCCACACTGTCAGTTCTGGATTACTCCCACAAATGTCCCCAAACTGCAGTTTACCTGCTCTCTACCCATCTCTTCTCGTTAAGAAGACCAAATTATTATAAACTGTTCTTTTCTCATTGTGACAATCAGGATGAACAAATCCCACACATCCATTACATTGGTCAATATCATTCAGCTACCATAAAAATACCTAAAGCTAATTAATTATATAAATAGACTATCAATCAGGTCTGTTTGCAAAGATATCAGTTACATTTCTGCCAGGGTAAATCAAACCCGTGACTATATGACAGTATGCAGCAACCAGTAACTTTAGTCCAGCTCCTCTGCTGCTGCTAGCAGAGACTAGCAGAGAACTTGGCCTGAATATGCAGTAGAGCTAAGCTACCACTCCTCTTTCTTTCTAAAATCAGAAAGTACTTTTCCATTATTTAAAAAATGAGTAAGATGCTTATTTCATTTGTCTCAAAGTTGTCCAGATGTAAACGCAGTGGGGTTTTTTTTCTTCCTTGGCAGCCGTGGAACACGCATTGTTTGCAACTCCTCAAAGATAGAATCATACATAAAAAATAAAACTAATTTATTTATTCATTAAAGTGAATAAATTGTTTTTAATACTTGCAGGTCTGATTTAAATAATAATTTTGTATAAATAAAGTTTATTCTGAAAACAATGATATTTGTTGGTATTCATGTCATTTTTTTCTGCCTGAGTTCTTACTGAAATCATGTTGAAATTAATAGTTTTACTTATTGTTACAAGATAAAATCAAATGAAAGAAGATTTCTTAGTCCTGAATATATCATTTTAAAGCAAATACAGTTCTTGGAACATTAAAATACAAGGGGACTCTGTAATCCACAGCAAAATAATATTTTGCTCTTACTTTTTTAGAAAATAACACTTTCTATAATACAAAGTGACAAACCATCTACAATTCTGTCTTTTTATTCCCCTTTGGTTTGGAAGTCATCACTGTAAATATCAGCAGGACTCTCTGCACTTCAGTGCCTATTGCCTCACTTGTCTTACCTGCCTGACAATTGCAAATGATCTTATTTGCATGATTTTGAAAGAGGGAAAAGAAAAAGTTAAATGCTTAAAAATAAAATCCACAACCACATTAATACTTTTCCAGGAAATGTTAAAAATAGGGTTTGCTTTTATATTTATAAAAGGGATACAATCAATTCATTCTTAAAATAATAACTAAAAAAAACAAACCCAAGAAAGCAAAAAAACCACCATCTCTAGTTTCTACACACTCTGTAGTAACTAGTGTGAAGCAACCATACAGATTGGGTATATTCTGTTGTTTGACGGGTATCTACTGAGTTACATATCAGATGATCAGACCATAGTGTTACCCCGAATGGGGTCATCGTAAGGGCAGGGAAGGAGCGGTGCACATTACAGGAGTAGAAATGAAACTGGAGCTCTCAGTGAGGGATGGGGTCCTTCTAAGAACAAATATTCTTCAAAAGAGATTAACTGCAGCAGGCATGGCCTTCAGGAATCAGGCTAGGCAGGCCAACAAAATGGATGGTGCCTCTGATATCAACATAGCTTTGTCCAAACATTCCCAAGAGAGGTTAAAAACAAAAAAACAAAAGGTCTAAAACTATACTAATGAAGCAAAAAAAAAGTTTCCTATCTATACAGCAGTCTCTTCATTTAAAAAAATGTAAATATACAAATTCCAATGACATATAAAACAAGGTCGAAAATGTGAATGGGAAGAGACATGGGTAAAACAGGAAGACTGATGCTACAAAGAAATTGCAAAAAACATATGTACAAGACCCTGTTTTTCCTCGTATTTTATCGATTGTAATGCATGTTTGACAGCAGCAGTCGAGGATGTAGTTCCAGGCACCGGACTGCAGACTCAGCTGTTACTCAAGGGGATTGACAGCCCCTTGCATTTCGGTCACCAAATGACACTTGATATACTGGTCTCCCGTGGCAAGAGGGGCAGTATCGAACTGTTTGTGTGAGCCTCTTCTGGATTCTGCTCCCTGTTAGTTTTTGTCTGCGGCCGCTGCCCGTTTATAAGTGTCATAGGGATGTTGCAGTAGGTATGCTGGTTACCTATTGAGGTAAGCGGCAGGGTGCCTGTAGGAGGTACATCATATTCATAGCTTCGATAATAGTGTTTCTGGCGCATCTGTGAATGATATGTGTTATGAAAGGTGGAGCGCAGGTCTGGATGGGCAGTGGCAAGAGCAGTGGAGGTGGCAGCAGCCATGGAAATTGCGGAGACTGTCTGCAGTTCCCCAAAGGGCCCCTGCTCACTGACATCTAAAACCTGCTCATGTGTGATGGGTTCAATCCTCTTAAAAGGCATTTCGTACTGTAAACGTTTCCAGAACTTGGAATTCAACTTGTTGCATTTTGGTCCGTGCCATTTAATGACAGTGAGGAGCTTGATAGTATGTTTCAGGGCCTCGACTTCCTGGTAGTTCATAACTCCTCGTAGTTCACTGCATTCAATCAGTATCACTTTGATTTCCCCTGTGACTAACATGTTTCGAAGTCTTGTTTCCAGTTCAAAGATGCTCCAGCCTCTTCTTACCACGTAATTTGGAGTCATGACGATGATCAGTCGCTTGCTTTGGTCTACACATCTTGCCACGTCTTCAATGTAGGCTACAAAATAAGACAATTGCTCAAAAAACGATCTTAGAAAACACTCTGCTCCCATAGACTTAGAAACATAGACAGAGAAACAACAGAGGCAAATCCTGCTTCCAGAAGTGCTCACTGAAATATGTAAAAACTTCATTTGCAAATGTGCCCTGTTTGCTTGTCAGGTCATGGTCCTGGGAAACCTGCTCTAGACGGCCCTTCTTGACCAGGGTGCTTGGACAAGATGACCTCCAGAGGTCCCTTCTAACCTCAACCATTCTGTGATCCTGTGAAACATCTATTCCTCCATGTGCTATGGATTGTGAGTATTTGTTCATGAGCCGTAGTTTTGTTTCAATATCTGCATCTTTATTGGAACAAGTGTGTCCATCACCATTTTTTCCTTTAAAAAGGCAAAGTCACCCAGGTAGGCAATAGAGCAGCAACTATGTGCTTCAGGGGCTCAGTCTCAAACCCAAATGATACTCTAAAGTGTAGTGTAGATTTAAATTCTTACATTCCTTTCATGCCCCACCACACACATTCACAAAAACAGTGTTGTCTCCTGCGAATTAATGATTTGTTTGATGCAGATTTCAAAAACAACCTTGTGATTATGTTTGATGTTGTGCTTTGTCTATACCAAGCATTCTTTCTCACCTTCTGTAAAAGATATTGAACTTAGCTGTCTATATGGTTACACTGAACTTAGGAAGAATACTACAGCAACTTACAAAAAAAAATACTGTATGTAGCTTGGAATATGTGAAAGAAACATTAAAAAATCTGCTTGTACCAGCTGGAATCAATTCTAATTTTCAGTCTCTGAGAATGATACAGTACCTCCACTACAGATTTATCTGTAGCAAACACTAACAGAATTCACTGTTTTCTCTACTGTAGATGTTATTAATCAACCCTTGCCTTAGTCCAACTTTTTCCTTACTGTCTGATTTTCTGTAATAAATACTTAGAATCATGGACATCTTTCCAGGCAACCTTTAAGGAATAGAAAACAATGACATCTGTATTTATTCCTAGATATGCAAGCTCTCAAAATTCTGTAAAAAAATGTTAGTCTCATTCATCCCCTTTACTTATGCACGCCCTTTCTGCACTGTCTCAACTTCAATCAATATAATACAACTGCTAAAAATAATCCTCTTATCTGGGAAATACTCATTAAGTGTGTTTGGTGGCTTATCTTCATCATTCCCTAAGACAAGGAAGGAAAGATGACATTCTGAAGGAATAGGCATAGAAGTGATATCAAAACAATCACTGCAACCACTGCATTTGCTGTTTAGGAAACACATAAGCAGAAAGACATGGCTTACTTCCTGTGGGAATCAAATCTCTGTCTGGTATGAACAACTTGTATCCATAATGCTTTTCAAGCATATCTGGTAGGATCTCAAGAGCAAATCTTTCTTCTTCTCCAGTTTCTTGATTCCACTGGTCAGGATCCACTTTGGTATAGGATAGATATGCATCATAGTCTTTGTTGTCTAAGGAAAGAGAAGAAGTAAGTCAGTTCATTCATTATTCTTGCAGGTTTCCTAGATAATTCCCCAGGAATTATTTCTGGAAGAATTCCCCAGGAATAAGAAACTGTTTAGATAAAACAGCAAGCTTTCACCCATTCTCCAGATATGAATCCATTCACCTTTCCTGTTTCACCTGGTAGAGGTAATCCTTATTTAAATAGATGCAAGGGGGAATGGATCCATATCCATAGACTGAATTCAGTTTGTGCATAAACGTTTGTGTAAGGCTCTGTATGAAGGAAATCCACTCAATTATGGGGTGACAGCTTGTGAACACAGAAGAAAAAAGTCTCTAAAAAGAAATTGAATTCTCCTCTAGCTTTAAAAAGGAAAAGCATGTAAATACCTAAGCTAATGTTCAATTGTCTCTGTTCTATAGTAAAACATTTCAGTCTTGCCAGATTAGTACTATAAATTTAGGGACTGGGGCTGAAATTTTCTAAGCGTATGTGTATCTTTACTTGTAAAACTCATTGGCTTTCCAGGTCTGAAATTATGGCCGAGTTTAAATCCTTGCAGCATCAGCTCCTAATAATGCAGCTTAAATGTCTCAAATTCTATGTGCTTAAATTTGCAAATTTAATGTTGCATTAATATACATTTCATTACTTAACAGTGTGTTATGTCATTTAGATATGAGAAATAAATGTGCCTGTTTCTTCAATGTGCTCAGTGTGCCCACTTGAAAGACTGAATCAAAAGAGTCATCATTAATTTTCATTAGGAGGTCAATAATGCCAAGTGCTCTGGAACTAACTCTGTGGAATAGGAGGTCACGTTTTGACGATTGTTGTGAAGAAAGCAGAAAAAAATCAATGGCATGAGTAATGAAATGTTAACATCCTTCTAACTCTCTCAACAACATTATGCACAGGCTATAGAGAATATCAATTGCTTGTAAAAGAGACCTGATTAAACACTTGACTGTGTGTCAGAAGTAACGTTATATTCAGTCAATGCTGACTTCAATTATTTACTGAACAACTGTTTCCCTCATTTTACACCTTTTTGTACTCTGGTAGCATTATTTAGAAAAGCCTGGCAAATGTAAGGTGGGTGCAAAGTGTATAAATGAAATTAATGAAATGTTGCTGATCTTGAACAGTCCACTTTTCCTTCTGAGGAACCATTCATACTATGCTCATTAACATTTACAGATGACAAAATTAAAATTACTTATACTGCAACTACTTTCAGACTTTGCAGACCTGTGAAATGACTGTGTGCTCGTTCTCTGCCTTGCACACTTTTTCTGTGATATTATCTATTGGACTGTTACATCCACAGAAAACAAAACAAGCAAACAAAACCAACAACAACAAAGAAAAATAAGAAAAAGAGAAGCACTGCCTTCTATGGTTCACTTTTTCCATTATTTTTCTTCAGAATATTTGCAAAACCATCATGCTTAACAACAGACAAGCACCTAATACCTTTGTCAATTCCTTGAAAATGCACTAAGTGGATCAAATATGAGGTAGAGAGAGATTATGTAACAGGTTTTTGTTTCTACAGTGGGACAGTGTTACCCCAGGAACAGAGTTAACACACAAAAAGGTCAAGAAATACAGTGAAATTACGACAACTGACAAAATGATGATGCGGTAAAGTCATTTTCTGTTGTCACGAGACAACAGAATGGTCTAATGGTCAGACAACAGAATAACAGAATGGTCTAATGGTCATAACTACGGTACATGCTCAAGAGCAGGGTTGCTCTGCTGAAAGTTTTTGAGTGAAAATGTGAATGTATCATTTCTAGAAGGGATAAGTAATAAGAAATAATGCAGTATTCAAACTGTTTTAAAGGCTTAGGGTATTGTCTGTTAATACAGTTTGCACGTTCTTACTTAGAGGAAAAATTATTCATGCTATGTCACTGTTTTCTTCCATATGTAACTATTGCACTTATGCATTTATTTGAAATACACATTTTTCATACCGTGGAGGCTCCAGCATTTCCACTGACTATGCTGCATTATGCTGTATTGCAGGGAACATTTCTTTCCACCCTAGATCTCTAGTTTTAACAGCATTTAAGGGGAACAGAATGGCCAGGATCTAGGGTATGTCTAGACAGATGCATTCAGGTGATCACAAGTTTGTTCAAACTCCAGTCCAGTGCGATGCGTAGTTCAGTTTGGGAAACCGTTGGATGCATTAGCACAGTAGTTTCCCTGAGCTATTATACTCCCCATCTGTCAGGGTTCTTTTTTTACTTTGTTTGATGAAAAGTAAAAAGTCCATTTTACAGCAGAATTACCTTATGTGGTAATTTTGTTATCTGATGGTCTGACATACTGGCATGAGCAGACAATTCGCAAAATGTGAAATGCCTGGGATACACAGGGGATGATCACATATGCCTTTGTTTTACTTCTATGCTATTTATGTATTAGTCTGCTTTTAGTTAATTAAAATTATTTGTGTTACATTGCCAACTCTGTGAAACATATTAAGAACTACAGCAGGCAGATAGCTACGCAGCCATCAGACACTATCTTTCCTGTAATGTGATCAAAGAGCTATGGCATTATTTACAATTTTCTCTAATTGTTGTGGATTGTAAAAAATGTATAATTTCAGCAGTAATGAAAAATTGGAGAATGAAAATTATTGAAATGTCCCATCTCCTGGACAGTATTTAAACACACTAGATAGCATCTCTGCCTGTGGTTCTTCTCAGTTAAACGGTCCCACCTGCCCCTTCTTGTAATGGATGGGACTGATGCCTACATTTTAAAGAACATTTCTGATCTTAATTCATGTTTTTGAATGTGCTTTCCCAATGGACTAAGAGGGAGAGATGGGAGCCTGCAGACATCCACATCTAATGCCTGAGTCAAACTGTGGGAGCTGGGGTTTGCATCTTTCCAGTCTTTTGGCCATGTTACACAGAAGCAGGAGGCTCTCAGCTATGCTCTCAAGCCCTTTGCTCTTGGGCTGTTTTCCATGTAAGCCTTCCATTAAGCAGCACATACAGGAGTCTCCAGACTACCAGCAAGCATGCAGGAAGTCCATCGCAGTTTTGTGTTTCTTGACCATTCACTGGAACAGGTATTTTACCCATGAAAATATTTGGTGTCAGGACACCTGCCTTTTTGCGAGAAAAAAAACCACCAGAAAACTTCTAATGTGCTTCTATTCACAAATCAAGACATAAAGTACATATTGCTACTTATACTATTATGTGGTATGATAATTACAGATTTTGCTATGCAATAAGTTCAAATACTGGCTGGATCTAATATCCAGTGTCAGAAAAAATGTGCAAAAATCCAAATTCAAAGCAAACAAATCTGATGGCAAACTAAGCTTTGCTTTAAAATAAGAATTTCCTCATTTCCCTTCATCAGCAAACAATTAAGTTTTCTATCCAAGCAGCCTCGGAATGAAAATGTAATTGATTGTTGCTTGCACTTTGTCTTTAGATATAGATTACACCATTTCAAAGATTTGTTTTTGTCAGGCTCCTGTGCATTAACAATAAACCAGAATACAGTTATTCATTACCTGTTTCCTCCCACACTTAGGAAGAAAAATACCTGCTAATAACCAAAGGCAGGGTTGTTGATCATTTGATCTGAAACTTTTTTTCTTTCCCATGGAGATTGAAAGCCATTATCTACACATACATTTCAACCTGAAAACAGTCATGTTCCTTTAACCATTTCAGGGTTCTTTTTCAGAAACATGAGTTCATCTTGCATTGCCTCCAGGTATGTTGCAAAGCTGTATTACGTAATGGCTGCCTTTTAATCTAGCAAACACAGCTGTGACATACAACATCATGCAATATCAGTACTTTGAAACATTTTGGTGCGAATAGAAAAGGATGTAAGTTTCATCTTCCCATTCTTTGTGAATGGACAAGTAATCCTCTACAATTCTGGGGTTTTAAGGTGCTTTCTGCTGCCTACAGGTAGTATAAAATTAGGATGGAGATCTTCAGGCCAACAGCCTCCATTTCTGTGAAGTTTTGTTGTATCACTTAACTGAAAATACTGAAACAAAGCCTAAAGCAGACCTTGCATAGCCAAATCCAACCAAGTTTGATGAAAAAAAATGGTTTTTATTGTGCTGTAGACAACCACAAGAGCATGTGGAAGCTCTGGATTAGTTCATCACAGTGGGGTCAAAACCAGCCCGTGCTCAAGGTATGAGGCATTCAGTCCACAAATGTTCCAGTCAGCCCAAAACACTGCTACTGCAAGACTCTGGTCAAAACAGATAGGGAAGTTCAAACTTTGCTGTATCTTTTCAACCATTCTATGGAGTTGAAATCAAGGACACTGAGTAAAGGTCATGGAGCCGTGCTCAGCCACAGGTCTGACACAAATGTTTGGTTTGGTTTGATTTTAGGAATAAACTTTGAGGGTGAAATCCCAGCTTCATCAACAACACACAAAAACATTACTTCATTTATTGGCCCAGGATTTTAGACAGAACACCTGTTGCATCATTGCAACATGCATTCTTTAATGCCATCCATTCCTTTTGATGCTCATCCAAATGCAGAATTTATTATCATATTCCCTGTAACTTTCTACAGTGTTAATTGAGCAGAAGATATAAAATTCTAGGGGATGAAGCTGCAAATGCTACTTGTTATTCCAAGGATGTGCTCAGCAGTAGTCACTTCAAGGCTCAATGTAAGCACAAAATGAAACCCAGACTCTGTATGCATCTACTTTGTCACATGCGAATAGGATCTTTGGGTAAGTAAGTTGCTATCAGACACCTAAGAACTCGTCTGTATGCATGTTCTTTTAACAGCTACACATGAAGAAATGGTAAGCTGGTGCCTACAGAAAGACAGATAAAACTTCCTCTTCTACAGGGACCGGTAAATGTATTCAACTTTAAATTTGTGTTATGGATGTGCATGTTTTCTAATGATTTCCATTTCCATGCACTCCAGGAAGTCAGCCGTTTGGGCCTTTGAGGGCTTATTAAAACTT